AAAAATTGTGAGGTTCAAATATTTATACAATGGATCTTGATTGTAGGCTTTTAGTGTAAACTGAAAATTATTTTTAAAATTTAAGTATTATTATTACCTCTATTAGAGTATGAATACTCTTATAGGAGTAGGTTTCATTATTCATACTCCTATAGGAGTATGAATACTCCTATAGGAGTAGGTTATCATATAGATATGATAACCCAGGCGCGGATCTAGGGTATAGCCGTTGTGGCTAAGGCTACACCTTAAAATAATCAACGAAATAAAAAACAGTGTAATGCTCCGACATATTTTCAAAATAAAAATAATATAAATAATCAAGATAAGTTTATTTTTATTTGCGGCTTAAAAAGCGATTAAAAAAGACCGGAATCAAAAAAAAGATCGGTCATTGCATATCGCTTTGTGGCTGAGCCACAAACGGCCTGACTTTACGGCATAAGCTGACTAAATTATTGTTTTTTTAGCCTAATGTATTTTTATTGAAAAGTCGTATGCCGTCAACACTCGTAGCCCGTGGCTAGATTGCTTTTTGCCTTGTGGCTGTACTTATTTCCCAGTCTTTTTATACCCAGCTATTTTTAAATAAGGAAAGCGCCTTTATTACTTTCTCAGTAAGTTGGTAATCATGGCGGATATGTTTTGAAAAAAAACTGTTCCAAATGCTATTGATTCACATTCATAACATTAAATGTTGCAAAAAAAATTGTTTACAAAACGAAATGGTTTGAATATTCACCAGTTTAATTTCGTAGTTAAATTTTTGGCTTGAAAATACCCTGATATAAATGTTTTTATGCCATAATTTAAAATGGATTAAGGTTTTGACAAAACTTTTGTAGCTTCAAGGTATATTTTTAACTATGTTTTCACGGACTATATTTGTAATAAAAATAACTAGCCTTTTATAGCTGTAACTTGTTTACTTATATACCACTTTTTCTGTGTTTATTGTTTTAAAATTCTTATAACATTTAACTAAAACATTATTATTTTATTAAACAGGTTAGTAATATAAATAATAGTTTTGCCACAGAGCTATATAAACATTTTTTATTGTTTTTTGCTATAAATGTAAGAAATTAAAAT